GTTACCTGCTGCTTGAGCTTTGCCCACTTTCAAAACTTGCATTGTAAAATATATGTGGTAGATATTTTCGGAAATGGAATGGAAACTCCGCAGGAAAATCAATTTCTTGATAAGCTACATTGGCCGGAAATCCTATAAAAGAGTTTTATTTTAAAAGATAAATGGTAACTATAATTACAGTAGTTCAATTTCATTCAACAAACCTTTATTAACTCGCAGATAGATTTAAAAAAAAATCATTCAACAAACCTTTATCAACTCGCAAATAGATTTTTTTCAAAATCATGTCAAATCATTCAACAAACCTTTATCAACTCGCAAATAGATTTTTTTCAAAATCATGTCAAATGTCATACATAGGTAAAAACTGTTAGAGATGAGGTAAAAAAAGGCATGGTAATAGTAATGGTTGGAGACTTATATAGCGTATAAAAGATGGTCTCCATGCACTAAACAGAAAACACAAACAAGCAAATCTATTGTAATAGGTCATCTAAGCTAACCACGATAAAATAAATAACAGAAAGGGACTAACGGAGAAGAACCAACACTATCGCACCGTTCACTTTCAATTTGAGACCACCGACAAGCAGTGGTTAGCAGGTGTTAGAATAACGTTGGGATCTGAATTAGCCTTTCCGAACAACAAACTGTACAGAAGACAAATTAAACAGAAACAAAAAAAGTGATTTAAAGCTCTGCTTGAAAACAGATAAAAAAGCATGCTTCAGAAGAAATAAACGTAACAACCTTGCCGTATCACATTACAGCAGCAGACGACTAGAAATTATGGTAAGCTAGAGTATATAATTTGAAACAACCTTCAAATCTAAATTTTGGATCAAGAGCATTTTATTACGGCAAATCCAGCTTAGGAAGAACACTGACATGATGACAGCGTAAGCAATAATAAGCTCTGAAACAAGTACTGTAACTTACTGCTTGTCTGGTTGTTGACATACTGGCCAACTGACAGAGGATTTAACAGGTCGGAGGTCAACCAAGACATATCGCTAACCAAGTAAGGTCCAGCACGGTCTCTTTGTGAGCATGATCTAATAAAAAGAAAAATATTTAACACTGAAGATGTGGTACATTCTACATCACTTTCTAAATTGATACAAATAATCATTTTAAATACAATTGTATTTTATATTTTACCTGAATATAATCTTTGATAATCCTTTATCATTGCCATCAATGTAAAGTCCATCGAGGCAACGGAAGATGAATGAATTGTTGATGGACTGAAGAAAAATCGGGTCATATGGGTGATAAATTGTGCCTTAAAAAACAAAATGAAATGAATTACTATATCACAGAAACACAAAGCAATAGCATAAAGCATCTTAATGTTCATAGTGTCTACAAAAAAAGAAGAAAAAGGAGAGTATTTCATATCAAATTACTGTAAAGTACTTTTTAATGAAATTAATATATTATATTTTATATAAAAGGTATATACAGTAGTACTATGCTTTTGTGCACATTTTTTGTAACTGGATTGCATCAAAGAACCATCTTACATTTACAACTATTTCATATTATTCTTATTACACTAATATTACAAATTTTCTCGCATTTTTTTTTATAAAGCTTTAATAAATTCAAATTTTCCTATACATGGCCTCGGGATATACGGGTATGCTACACAGGGCTGGAAAAAGTGCACAACTGTGCGACCAGCGGCATTGACCTTTAACCCGGAGGCACTATAAAAAAACTTTTTTTTTTTTTACACATCACAATTTAATGCATAAATAAACTTAATATTCCTGGAGGCATTCGATGTTCATGGTTGGAGGCACAAAAATATTTTTTCCAGGCCTAATGATACAGCAACATGACATACACCTTCACTAGCATGAAATACGAAGTTCCACTTTAGTACCTGGATAAATTGATGTAATGCTACCAGCTGGAATACAGCCTTTACTAACAATTACACCTGTGCCACTCTCCACCACTTTACTAGGTCCATGACAAACAACAAATCCAAAGTGTTTATACATTAACTTGTAAACATCTTCAGAGTTATCACCTGAAAAAAAAAAAAAAACAATGTTAATATACTGTATTTGTATAGTGCCTTGAATATTGGATTTATTGGCATTTATAAATACTTTTTGATGAAACCATTCACTTTTCATTTGAGCTTTCATATCTTGGCCTAATGAATTGATTTTTAATTGTTTGTTTGTTTTTTTTTTTTTTGGTAATTATATAAAATTTGCTAAGAAAAACAATATTTGAACTTAATTCATATCAATTTTAATGAATTGTACATATGGTTGTTTACCATTTATTGATAATCATTTTGCTGTGTAATACGTAATTGAAATATATATTTGACAATATTAAAGTATAATCTAAAATATTTTTATGTAATTATAAATACTGCTTCTTTAATTTGTTATTTCCTTAAATTTATTGTAGGCTTTTTTAAATTTTTGATTGTACTGTATTTTGCTTGTTTTCTGTCTGTTTTCTGTATGGCAGGCATCTTGTTATATGTACCCTCAAGAAGTTTTCAACTTTTGTTGCATTTTGAGTGTTTTATAATGAATATCCAGATTATCAAATTTTCATTAACAATAAACTGTTGTATGCCAATATATTGTCATGATGTGCCTATATATGGTCATGATGTGCCTATATATGGTCATGATGTGCCTATATATGGTCATGATGTGATGTCATCATGTCACAAGTTTTTGTCAAAATAAACCTTTAATAGACTGAAAGAGTTTTAACTTCAAATGCCTGGAAGTTCACTCAACTTGACCTTGGAAATGCAATTCAATAGAAAAAAATTGAAAAGTAATTGTATGTACTGTAGGACACTTTAATCAAAAATAGAATACAAGGTCCAACATGTAACAAATGCATGGCATGCACAGGTACCAGATATCACACCAGGTACATAGGCCTAACATCACCAAACTTTTACATATAAAAAAAATATATATATATTTATATATAAAAAAAAGTATATAAA